AGAAAGTTTCAAATTTGCAAAACTTTTTTGGCCAACTTTTTGTAACCCAGCCTTCTTTGGGTTATAGTTCTGTTGTCCTTTCTATTACAGGACTGAGTCGAGAATAAAAGAACCAAGTTCTTATTCTGGATTAATATTCTTTATACAATATTCTCTTCCACATACAAACATTCAATACAACAATACAAATACACAAACACACAAGTCCAGCTTGTACTTTACTTCAAAATAGGTTTGAGCTTCAACAGAGCTTTGGCTATGGAGTTTACTGTATGAAGCTTGGATGAGATCTCTCTTGGATTTCACCAAGCAGGGGTATTTAAACCTAGCCAGCCTAGATGGGGGAAACAAAGGAAACAATCATCGCGACCCTAATAGCGGGAATCCCAATCCGTGAAATGAACAGAGTGGAAATTGCTCTGAGTGATATATAATTGCACTGGTTACACATCAGTGATAATGACCATGCGCAACAAGAACAAGACAACCGAATATCACTTGACTTTTGTAAAGAGTTGAGCCCACCAGGGTTTCAGGATAGATTGTATTTTAATTACCTAAGGAAGGTTATTGTAGCTTGTCATGAGAAGTTGTCAAGGCTTCTCATCAAGGAAATTGCAGCAATTATCTTCGCTTTAGCAATTTCCCATTTCTAGGCTTTCTAAAAGGTTTCTTCTGAAACTACCAAAAAGGGTCTTCTGTAAGTTACTGTATTTCTAAGATAACAAACTCACCCCGCACAATAAAAAAAAAGGTTCCATCCTTTCATGAAAGTCAGCAGAAAAAGGAACAACAGGTGAACCGAGTGCGAGACTCAGTGTGACAGTGCCCTATTTTCCGTTGCTGTTTCTTTCAGGAGCCATAAAGGCTTTTATGGAAATGGCAATTGTTATTGCTATCCATCAGGAGGAATCAGGCATGGATCCGACAGATGTTCGGATCGAGAAGAATGATAATATCTTCTTCAGTTGGCATCGAGTGCCATTCGTTAACGGATGATCCATTGGGCCTGAAATTTTGGTGGTTAACTTTGGTGAGCATTGTTAGCTTAGTCTATTTTTTTCAAATTTTTCTGACTTTAACTTTTTGATTTTTGTCTCGAACGACGCAGCGTCGTAATGACTTCCTGTCGAACAAAATTGTTGGAAGTTGATGGGTCTCCTGGAGCTGGTGGCCTCAAACATTGTTTCGCGAATTGTTCGATTGTTGAGTGACTTTGTGCTGCTAGGAATCTTCAACTTCTTCAGGAGAAGATTTCAACAAGTAAAAAGTGAATTCCCAAAAAAAAAATTTTCTTTCAGAAATAACAGTTTTCGAAATTTTCACAGATGGCGTTCCTGAAAATGCTGGTGCTGCTGATCGTCGGTGTTGCGGCTGCTGGAGCAGACTGCGGTCCAGAAGACAGCGTCTTCAAGTGCCGGGACGTTTGCGGAGAGGAGGTGCGGGACGCCGGCGGCTACGGACGTCGGGTGACGTTCGTCGGGTCGACGCTGTTTTTGGACTGCGTTCATCAAGCGGATCTCAAGGTGAGTTTTTCGACATTGTTTGTTGGGATGGAAATAACAGCTTTCCTGTTTCTGCAGGAGGTGAAGCTGGTGTCGCCAACGGTCTGCATCGGGCGTCGAGTCGACATGGATCGTGTCGTGACGCCTTGGAGATGGTGCAAGGAGGTTGTGCCACCCGAACCGGAGATCTCGACGGCGGCAGTTCCGCCGGTGGTTGGTGAGTTCGTTTTTGTCAGCTTTTCCACACAAACATAATCATTTCAAAACACAACTCACATAACACGTTCACAACAACATAACATATAACCAACACCTGTACCCTGATTACAAAAATTTTTCCTTCACCAGTTTTAATAAAATTTTGTATGTACAGATGAGCCTCGCCCAGTGGCGCCAACGGCCAACCTGGCGGTCGTTCACGTGCCGGTGAGCAAGACACTGTACGTGGTATGGGCGCCGCCCTCAACGCAGCAAAGCGTCATGGTGGCACAAGAGGTGCCACACGTCATCAGGGCACCGTCGTCGACGCCGGAGGTGATGGTCAACATCAAACATGGTGTTGCGCATGTCGAGGCGGACGTGGACCCGTGGACGGCAATGGTCCTGGTTTTCATGGGCCTTGGGGGAGCTGGAGCCACATCTCTGGCTGTCTTTTTGGTTTGGCTGGTTAAGTTCATCAGGAACAAGGTTAGCCAAATTTTCTTTTGTTTTAATAAAAAATGATTAACAATGCTTTTTTGCTTTTATGCTTGCTTTGCTTCTTTTTGTGCATGCAATTTAAAAAATAGAGAAAGAAAAGAATTTTGAAGCTTGATAAGGCTAAAGGTAAAGAATGCATGATAGGATCTATGCCCAATATATTTTTTAATGGGCTAGATTCTGATGAGGAGGAATTTGAAGTTTTCTCTCAAAACTATGCAGATATCAGGGCTAGATCCCCAAGAGTTTCAACATTTAGACAAGGTAAACAAATAGCATGTAATTACAAAACAACGCATGCAATAATTTTTGATGCTTTGCTTGGGGCTTTTTCTTTTTGTCTTTTTTATGCAGATATCAGGGCTAGATCCCCAAGAGTTTCAACATTTAGACAAGGTAAAAGAATAGCATGTAATTACAAAACAACGCATGCAATAATTTTTGATGCTTTGCTTGGGGCTTTTTCTTTTTGTCTTTTCTGTACAGTCATTGTACATGCGGGAACTGGTGCAGATGCTGACGCCAGAGGATCAGCAGGATCCGGAAGCCCAACCAGTGGTAGATCTGTTGGGGCTGGAAGAGACGGATAAACCCGTCGAAGAGAAGAAGGAGGAAGAACTGGTCCTTGAGGACAACAACCCTTTCAAGGAAATGTTGAACGCGTAACAGTTTAAGAATGCGTCAAAAAGAGTGCCATTTTTTGTACCCGCGTTTTTATATGGGTCAAGGCAATAGAGAAATTGTAAAAAGAATTTCTGGCCTCTGATTCTCTTTTTTGTTTGTCTTTTCCAACCGAATTCTTTTTCAGAAAGTGATCAGCGAATGGACAAGATT